GAACATTTATTATAATTGCGGAAGTAGCAAGTAGTGCTTTATGATAAAAATGATATTTTCATTTTTTATTTTCATTATTTATGAGCGTAAGAAAAATCTAACCTTGAGCAATGTCCGACTCGTCCGATGATATTATGATCCTATAACGCCGACGACGTTTGGCATCTGTATTTTGCAAGTATTTCACTTTACTTTTATAATATTCGATTTTTTCTAAGTTTGTTCGCTTTGACATTTTAACGGAGCTGTGGAGGTTTGTGTGAGGAGCTGTGGAGGTGTGCTTGTTGCCACGCACGAAAAAGGAATGAGGATAGAAAATGGCGGTTGATGCCTGGTAGGGAGTGTCAGCGTCAAAACATTTTTTTTCTCTAAAAACCGTGCCGTGTTGCCTAGCAAGTTACTACCTGGTTAAATATTATATGGAGAATGAAACGACGAAATATACTATACTACTTGGTTGATAGGTTTGTCATGGTACGAATATGAGTAATATTAAGCTTACTATAAGCTTACATTGAAATAAGATTACTTTTTGAAAGGCTATGGCAGGCCCCCAGTTCATCTAGCGATGTAAATACGCGACGAAAGTAACGTGTCTATTAAATGACAATTATTAAACAAGTTAATGATAGAACAACTTGTGCTCTTCGTTTGGAGAAATTTATTGAGATTTCCCATTTACCTACATTCTAAATAAAAGCTACAGCAATAATCATGTTGTTTGATAAAATAAAAACATGGAAACCGAATAGAGTAAATTATTGATATTTAAACGCATCCGTGTAAATACTTTCTAATAATTAAAATTGTAATAACAAAATTGTAACTAGTTGATGCGTAGAATAACTAATAAATACACGGAGCAGTAAATTTGTAAGCAGCCAATTACTTTCATTTTTAATACTCCTATGTATGTGCGTTTATACGCAGGCCGTGCCAACTTGTAAATGCAACAACACAATAACTCATTTTTGTTGGTGTATGTCTTGTAAATTGCCCTAAATAAATAAATTTCCAAAAGAGAGGGTACGGGTGCTACCCTCTACTGCACCCATCCAAATACGTTTTAGATATGGTATGGTGTGAGACATTAGAGTTTGGGCGAAAACGAAATCCATTATTCCAGTAAGATTCTTAGAAGTGACATAGATAGCCCAATAGTACTTCTATCTGTACTTTTGTTTGTGCCTCAAAATTATACGCAATCAGGTATTCGACGCTGACTTTAACTGTCCGCACGAACCACGCCCACGACTCCCACGCCTCGAGTTCTTGCCTTGCTCAATACAAGGCAAGAGCGGACGAGGTCTTCGGTGCCGATGTGCTCATCGACTTCTTACCGAAACTAATATAATAATTTGGAATGTTTTTTGAATAACTATTTGACATGATCATAGAATGTGCTTAACAGTATTCATTATTATTATTTAATTTCTTATTTTCTATACATTATAAGTTATGTAGGTATTGACTTGTACTTATGATTGTACATAGCATTGTGAGTGCTTTGGGTGACATTGTATACTTTTGAATAAATAAATAAATGAAAAAAATTAACAGTAGAGCACTTTCTTTTTAAACCTTAAACCGTGTGTACCTCTCAATCTCGCCCTTGATATTAATAGCGTGTGCTGTCTGCGCGACATGCGCGAGGCATGGCATGAATCGTATTTTCGTTGCAGAGTTAATAAACACTCTATGTAGCAGCAGTACGATTCAAGACCTGAGGCGACGTATGTTGCAACAAGAATTTGTTTTTTTAAATGGCATTCCTCTAACTTATTCGTACATTTAATACGAATAAGAGTTTGGTTGAATTTAAGGTTATAGACTGAGTTGGTAACCTCTTTTTACAAACAAAAACCGGCTATCGACGGCGATTTGTGTGCAATTCGATTACGTACTGGAAGTCGAGGTCTCTGTAGCACGTAAAGTGTGGGATCGAGTCCGCCAGGCAGTAGACTGGCGCCAGCTGCACGACTGTAACACACACACGAGATAGAGAGCACACGCAGGGGCACAGGCAGAGATGAAGGCGAGTACTCACGGTCTTCGACGGCGGGCCGGTCAGTGTAGCGAGCCGCGTCCTCGGCCGCTACAAGCAGCCGGTTGAGATACAAGTTCGCGCGCGTACGCAGTAGCGCACCTCCCAGCAGCCGCTTCTTTGGCACAATACCGGTCGTGTCCGCTCCCAGCGCTGTTACCATAGTTGGCTAGAGCATCCCGAACGGCTTGTGTACGCGGCACTGACAGCTCCCAGAATCCCACTCACCCAAGGGAATATCCCGTGGCGGCCGTATACCACCGCAGCAGATACACGCAGCGAAGGGGCACAGACACTTGGGCAGAGGCACGCTCCTCATTTCGCCAACGCCGCGGTCGTGGGGGCACTGCACAAAGGAGTCTCGTGAGTTGCGTCCCTGTTGGTCATCAGCGTTAAGAAAAGGTGGACTCAGCTCTCACTGCTCACCAGCGGCGAATACCAGGTCCGTTCGAGTACAAAGCGCGCGCGCCCTCGCTGCTTCAGCTTACGCACGGCGGCCTCTATGGGGAACTTGCGGCCATGCTGGTCTAGTTTACCCCGCCCAAACAGCTTAGCATGCTGTTTGGAGTAGTACTTGAGGTTATCGATGATCGGTGGTGGCGGCAGCGGCACTGGCTTCGGGCCCTCCATAATCTGGTCGGCTGCGTCTCCTGCCGATCCCATCGGAGCCGCCACCTCCGTGTGCCCCTCAGGCGTTGACTTCGTTTTGGAAACTGAAACTGGGTCCACGACTGGAACATCGGGGATGGGGGCCGGCGCACTAAGGCCGTCGCCCGGAGTAGGCTCCTCTTGACTCATTTTCAAATATTTTAACAGCGGAACACGGTTTTATGTGGATTTTTTAATTTTCAATTTTTTTATAGCTTACGCATAATTATTTTCGATAACAACGGATTGATTAAGCACGTTAATGAGATGTAATAAATTTACTTCATGACTGCACGCACAAAATAAATTAAGATTTATCAATAATTTATCCATAAACTACAATTTTTTTTTTAATGTTAGTAGCTTTTGGTTTTGGTCAATACTAAACCGCACTTCATTGTAGTCATGAAAGAGGAATTTAAATACTCCGTAGATAAGATGCGGAACTTCGAAACTGAAAATTTATTTCCAAGAGTAAGGAATGTGCTACCAACCTTCAGATAATAAACTGAATAGGTGTCGTACATACGTCAAAAATACAGTTGTAATGTCAAATCAAATAAAATAAAATTATTTGTTCTGTACGCACGTCTATAAGGTCTTATTTAACAATGTTGTGTCAGTACGTATTGCCAAATTCGACATACAATTTACGTAATTAAATTAATTTAACAGTATACAGTATACTGTGAAATTAATATATACTAAATATTTAGTATATATAGTAGGTATATATACTACATTTTTATTACAAATTGTCAAAACTTAATTTAAATTCTTAATTACATTAATGTCATTATTTTGTGGTAGTTAACTCTCATTCTATGTTCTTGTAAGTAATCGCTGACTTTATACTATGCTGTCCTAGTCAATAAATTAAATAATCTTTTCAAAATTGGCATTGTCGTTAGTCTCAAGTATATTATAACTAGGCAGCTTATTGTATAGCTATGGCGTCATCGCACAAATTATTATCATGGAAGAGGGTAGTCTTACAGACAACTAGTTTCCATTTATTACGTCTTCGTGTATTTTCCACTTTGCTGATGAGTGTGGATTTCTCCGAATAAAAAGAACCGTTTCAAATGTGTATATTGAAGTAATTGTTAATAATGTTAGTTTTTGAAAGTGTGGTATATAGCTGTCCACGAGGCGCAAGCCACAAATTACCCGAATACACCTTCTTTGCGCAATCATCACGTCCGCACTTCGTTTGGCATTACTCCAGAACAGAATCCTGTACCTTATGACTGAGACTACATATCAGTGGTAAGCATAGATATAATATTGGCAATCCATTAAGTAATGCATCTAGGTCTACAACTGTAGACTGTCCCCACAAAGCGTATGCAAATCTATTTATTCTCATACACAAGATTTCTATACGTTTTCCCATGTTATATTATTATCTATATATATTCATAAAAATGTTGTAACTTCCTCCTCCTTCAATTTCGTCGCACTATATTGAGCGTTTAATTTTTTGACGAGCGCATGCGACACGTCCGTCCACCCCGACATCTAGCGCCATAGTGAAGGAGGAACGGGCGAAACACGGCGACCTTTATTCCTTTGTCCACTACACCTCTCTCTTTGAATACATTTTAATAGGTAGTTATGTATATTACACGAGGGGCGCACTAGAAGTTTTCGGAATGAATAAGAAAAAAATACTATAAATGGTCAGAAATTAATTTTTTGTTTCTCAAAATATTCTCCGTTAACGTTAATGCACCTTTTCATACGAATGAACCAATTTCGAAAACATTTATGCCACACCTCCGTGACAATCTCTGAAACATATTTGTCATACTCTTCGACAACCTCTTCAGGTGATGACAATCGTTGACTGCGTAACTGGTTCTTAATTTTTGGAAATGAATAAACTCAACGTTGTTCACCTTCAAAAATTCATTTGCCTGTCTTGCCGTGTGAGAACTGACATTATCGTGATGCAAGATGATACGGCGTTTACGGTTATTTTTACGGAGTTTGTCAATAACTTCCGGCAAACAAATGGTCGTGTACCAATCACTATTTGCGGTACAACGATTCTCCAAAGCAACAGTAGCCACGTGTCCAGTTTTATTAAAGAAAGAAGCAATAATCCGCTTAGACGCACTGTGCACGCGCGCCACTTTGGTTGGTTTTGGCTCATCTCGAAAGACCCACACGCTCGATTGCTGCTTTGTTTTGGGATTTTAACTATAGATCTATGTTTCGTCACCTATTACTATATCTCACACCAAATTTGACGCCCCTTCGATGAATCTGGTAAGAACGGCATTGCACCAAGTGACCCGTTTTTTGAGCGTCACTCAAATTGTGTGGGATTCACCGAGAGCACAGCTTTTTCACACCCAAATGTTGTATTGATTGTATTTGACTCATACCTACGCCTAAAGATACCCGAATCTCATGGTATGTCACATGCTTGTCTGTTTTGATCACACGGCGCACAGAATCGATGTTTTTGTTGTTCATAGCAATGGACGGGCGACCATCACGAAATTCGTCACTGAGATTCACACGACCGCGTTTGAATTCTGCAAACCAGCTATAAATAGTCGTCCTGCATAGTACTTCATCGCCAAAACAAGTTTGAAGCCGAGTGAAGCTCCGCTGAACTGTTAAATTACACTTAAAGTCGTAGGAAATCATACTACGAAAATTTTCGCGAGTTAAATCCATGTATTCTACAGTCAAAGATTTCCATTTTCAAATGTTGTAATTACCTTTTAAATATTGTTTATGTAAGTTCCCTGTTCCGGAAACTTATAATGCGTCCTATGTATTTAACCTTTATAATTATTACTAACCGTCACAATCTACTTCACGTAACCTGACGTCTTTTCATTGGTCTTCATTTATATCCATAGCAACGTTTTCGCCTTGACCTTTCTGTTCGTTATGAATTTAGCCATTGTTCCTCTATTCTCTTGAAGTCAATGATGATAATAAGAATATAATATAATCTATACAATATTAAAAAATATCCTATACATAGACGAGACAGCTTTAGTAGGAAAAAGAGGAAATATTAGACCACTAAAAATTGAATTAAGAAATAAAATATTAAGAAAGTAAAATACTTCAGAATGCTGCATATTTTAGAGAGGTTGGTTTAGGAGTGACAGGGTTTCCGCCTTGTCGTGGCGGGTGGGCTCTAGTAGCCGTGGTCGATTTCATCACACGGTGAAGCTAAGCTGAACCTACGGGGCCGACCGATGGTGATAGGCCAGCCCGAGGAGGAGGATGCGCACTGGGAGGAAGGTCGCGGGGGAGAGACGTGTCGGTGTGTCGTTACAGCTAGTCCTGTCCTCCGCGACTCTGGCGGGGCTGCACTGCTTAGGGTGTAGATGCAGTGGCGTTAGAGTGGAACGCCTTGCAGAAGGAGGTGGACGCCGCCCAAGCAGCATACCCATATCCAAATATATACTGTAAGATATCTAATGGAATTTAATTCGATTGAATGTTTTAAGAGGTCAAATTCCCTCAAGATATCTCGAAGAAGGTTTCTAGATAATTTAAAGTAAAAGTTGTCATAACTTTATTAGTAGATCACAAGAGTGCTTTGAGAAACTATCTATAGGTAGTGTTAAGAGTGATTCTTAACTTTTTTCTCAAGTGACCCTTCTAGAATGCTACAAGACCATTTGTAGAATGTAGATAGTTTTTATTTAGTGTTGTAGACAGATTTTAGATAATTTATAGTCTATGACAGTTTTCTTAGTAATGCTCTTTTAAAACCAAATTACTAAAGCGTTACAAACATAAGACGCAATTCTCTTAATACTAATAGATTTCAAGTTTAATGGCTTACAAAATATAAACTATCGAAATTGCAATATGGCGAAATTAGATATAATATCTCTGACTTTTTCGCGCAATGTTTAATCGTTTAGGAAACGCGAATTGACGTGCGACTTTAAATACATTGTGAAAAGTAATGTAAAACCTGTCATAAAAGTAATGCGCTCGCTGAATTTTACATATTTATATATAAATATAAACTTAATAAAAATACAGTTATCGATTTTAGGTTTTAAATATTTATAGAAAGTTTAAATATACAAAATAACTCACAATAGAAACCATTTCCAAGAAGTTCTACCCAAGGAGCACACTTTATAAGCCTTAAAACTGTTACACCTATTAACAGTCTTAACATGGTATAGATTTAGATAATAGTTCTCTATAAATGGTTTTAGAAAAAAGAAATTGTTCTTATAGACTTATTTCACTCAAGTCAAAATTTTAACACCTTCTTAATACCAAACAACTTAATTAAGTGTGATCTCTCTTGAGATTTACTCTTTTAGTACTTATTTTAAGTTCATCTGTAGAACAACTGATTATTTTTAGTAAAATTTTTCTATACCTATCCAATAAAGTCTATTAATACTCTAAAACTAGTGTTCTTAAGTTTATTCTAGATATATTTAATTTATAGACATTCTGTAGTGTTTGTACTTAGCATAGGGGTCGATTTTAGACATCCTGTGTACCAACCGCCGTTGCTCTGCGACGTCTGTGGCCAGAGCTACGATTTTTTGAAAATTATTGCCAATCATCGGCAAACAGGCGCTCAAGCGCCTTGAGGAATTCCCTTTAGGCCTCCATTGTTTATAATGGATAACCCAAAGGCCTCTAGTACAGAGGTGAAACTATTCTCCGAGTCGGGAAGCGAGTGGTTGCCCTCGGCCTTCTCGGATGAGGAGTCCACCCTCTCTGAGGGGGGCTCGCGCGCGGTATCGCGCTCTGGATCGGCCGGAGAGGAGGTATCCTGGAGGGCCGCCAAGCGCGCCGCTCCCCAGTCGGACGAGCCTTTGGAGCCCGAAGTGGCTCCTAAGGTTAATACAGCCCGCAGGGGCAGGCCCAAGGGCCTGAAGACGTACGCCAACATGGCGTCGGCGGGCAGAGGGCGCTCCAACTCCTCGGAGTGGAGCCCCATTCAACGCGACACCGATGCCGCGTTCTATAAGGAAGCCCTTGAGGTTCCGGCCCCGGACCAGCTCGAAAAGGCCCAACTGGAGGTGGCGAGTCTCCGGAGGGAGACCTTGGCTCAGGAGGCGCGGGACAGCCTTGCGGCCATAATTGCGGAGACGGCGAAGTCCCGCAACCTTAAGGGCACGGTGGTGCGTGCCATT